ATTTGATCTTCTCAGATGGCTAAGATAAGAACTTTATTGATCCCACACAGGAGTAATTCACGTTACATCAGCTATAGAGAACAAGGTAGTGCCGAAAAACAATACACAGTATATATACATACATTTATATATATGTATATATACTATGTATTGTTTTTCGGCACTACCTTGTTCTCTATAGCTGATGTAACGTGAATTACTCCTGTGTGGGATCAATAAAGTTCTTATCTTAGCCATCTGAGAAGATCAAATACATTGTTTTTGGTGCCTAACTCTTTCCCAAGTATATTAGTGCGTGTGTGAATTAATAAACGAGGCATTAACGTAAATTTCTTTGTAGAAAGGCGCTTTATGAAATTAAGTCCATTTACTTGTATTAGTTTACAGCGCAGCCTTGCCACATTCAATATGGCGGTGACGTTGACATATAGCACCACTTGATGCGGCGTCTATGTATATATAGGTTCGTTCGAGATGAGCCAGGCCTGCGCAGATTTGATCACCGGCGATCAGCGCACAATGCATGCCAGTTAGTTTTGTGTCCGACTTCATCCCAACTTGCTCTGACGTATTACAAAAGTGGACAGCGATAAAACCGCGAGAGCGAGGCGGCCGCAGTTTTTAGAGCCAGGCGCTGCAGCTGCTCCCCACCGACTGCACCGCCTGGCTCTCACCTGATCTAACAGCTGATTGGTTAAGATGTCGACTCAACAACATGACGTTTTAGATAAACTATTCATTTTTGTTGGATTTTAGAGATTAAGGTTGTATTTGTCTGATCTGAAGGTTTATTCTGTGAACAGAAAACATGTTGTGTGACTGATGGTGAAGTTTAGTTGTCAGAGACTGAATACATTCATCATAAACTATACAGAGTCTACTGTACTATATTTATATTGGACGATTTAATTATTGAAGCATTTAGCAACACAGAGACTTGTGGTCAGTGGGATGTGAGGATNATTTAGCAACACAGAGACTTGTGGTCAGTGGGATGCGAGGATTCTTAAAATAACATCAGATGTGAAGCCCTGACTGTATCTGACTGAGCCTTAATGAAAGCTGTTGTCTTGTATTTTTTTTCCTCTGAAAATATTAACCTTATAGTCAAACACAGTTTATTCAGCCTGTGTAGTTGAGGGGACAGGTCAAACTGATATGATGCTGATTTACAGGAGAATTCATATCAAATGGAGGTTAAACCATGAACATAAACTACAGATCACCTGTAAAACATTTTAATAAATTAATCTATAATAATTAAAACAACTGGAGACTGAAAACAAACTGATATATGGGTCTGATCACTTTTTTAATGAATTGACATCATTCCAGACAGGATGTAATATGTGTCTGTGACTTCCTGTACGGACTGAAGGCTGCTGGAAACTGTCGGGAAACTGTCCGACTTCACCGCAGCTTTTTGTTACCGCCCCCTGCTGCGGCCGCCTGCTCCCGTGTACTTTTCAGGCGAGGCGCGGTTCATCTTGAACGAGCCTATTGTCTATGGTCTATGGATCAAGGCGAGCGCTTCTTCCTACGTGCTCAGAAATGTAGGTGCTTATTGGCCGAAGAGGAGTCCTGTGTATCTGTCCTCGATTGCTCTTCCTTCATCCTTAAACTACCCGGATGTCTGTCACAGTAAATTGAAATTGAATTTTGAGAACTGAATTTGAATTGTGAGAACTGAATGTGAAGATATATAGAAATAAATTCAATTTCAAATTATACTATTCAGATTCAGTTTTTCAATGCAATGGTTCAAATTAAACAATACAATTTCAAATTATGTGATTCAAATTCAGTTTTTCAATGCAATTATTCAAGTTTAGAAATTCAAATTCAAATATAAATGATTCAAATTCAGTTTCTGGTGGCACATATTTCAGCCTATAGACTGGAGAACCCCCTGGAGTATTGGGAAAGACAGAGAAATGTATATCCCAACTTGCAAAAACTTGCTGTTGCTTTTCTCTGTACCCCAGCTTCATCTGTGCCCTGTGAAAGGGTATTTTCTAAAGTGGGCGAAATCATCTAAAAAAAAAGAAAAAAGAAACCGCCTGAGGCCCAGCACTGTGGAAAAGTTGTTATTTCGAAATAAAAATGAATAAAATGTCCCTAGTAACATAAGCACAGTCACAAACCAAGTAACACAAGCACATTCACATCACAACCCTCTCTCCAATTTGTTTCCACTTTCCCTTTTGACTCCGCAATTGTATCATACAGACAGACATCATATTAATAAGTTCATAATTTATGTATTGGCATCACAAACATCAATCATTTATTTAAAGCTTCACACACCAAAGCCATGGTGCCATTATAATCACTCTGCCTGTTTTACATTTATTGTCCACTTGATAGCACAGTAGAGCAAATGAAGCACCATGAAGCTTCGGCCCATGAGTGAACCAATTGAATAGGAAGCTTCGATGCTTCATGAAGCTTCATCTCGCCATCACTAATGGCAGTCAGTACGTTTACATGACACTTGAAAAAAACGAATTATTGCCTTAATCCGACTATAACTGGACAACTGAAGTGCATGTAAACGACTAATATCGGAGTTCTCCAGCTCCGATTAAGACACCCAGATAATGTGACTGGAATTCGATTTTCTCCGGCATGTATACGCCTTAATCGGAGGTAAACAATGCATGTGCGCATGCTCCACACCCCCCACGCTGGCGTATGACCCCGGAACAGACAAGACATGCTATTGCTGAAGCCCTCCAACAGCATACGGCATTCTTGTCTGCCTTTCGAAATCACCATGACCACGAGGGATAGCGTGTACCTTATCTGCACAATCAGTAATGCGTACATTACGTACGAGATGAACAAAGCTGTACGATTATCCATCTTGCTGTTGTTCGAAAATGCCGGTCTGCTGCCTGACTCCAGTTGTTTATTATTAAATGACGTAATAGGTCAACCGGAAAGGGGGCCGTATTAACCCGCTGAAACGACGCATATCACCACCTAGTGTTGAGGAGGAGGACACGTTCCCGTCAGTCATTCGATTTTCTCAGTTGCATGTAAACTGGGTCAAGGACAGAAGTCCGATTAGACGCCAAAATCAAATTTTGAGCATAGCTCGATTAAGCTTTGCATGTAAACGTACTGACTGGCCCCTCAGCATGTCCCTAAAATGCTTGATCAGATTGGGATCTGGGGAAACCAGGTTGATGCCTTGAGCTCTTTGTCACGTCCCTCAGGTCATTCCTGAGCAGTTTATATGGTGTGGCATTTTGCACTGTCCTGCTGGGAGGGAAACTGCCATTGAGGAATGCCGTTGCCATGAGGGGGTGAACTTCATCTGTAATGGTGTTTGAATTGGTGGAACGCATCAAGAAGCATCCACATGAATGCCAGGACCCAAAACATTGCATTGTAACAAGATGATCAATGTTATTCACTTCACCTCTCAGTGGTTTTAATGATTTGGCTGATCAGTGTATATAGCTGATGGTATGAATCAGTAGTAGCCTCAAGACTTGTGAAACTATTTACATATTCTAAATAATATTCCTTCTTTTGACTGTCTGGTAAACTGTCAAGCATTATTATTTAGTTTGTGCTTGTAGCTTTTATGGATTTGTAACAAGTCAACTAACAGATAAGAACAACAGCACAATAATCCTACCTAGAGACATAAAACAATGTGGATAACAATGACAACACTTATTTCTTTAAGAGATAGTAACTTATTACATTATCATTTACTATCTGAAGCTATCTGAAAATGACATAAAAACATTATGTTCACTTGACACAAAAACTCTTGTTTTCTCTTGTGAGTTTGACATAATATTTCATGTTATGTCTAAAAATTTTGAGTTTTGAGTTAATTTGACAAAAATTTATAAATCTGATTTCACCTAATTAGTTTAAGGCCAGCAAAAAACACTATCATTATGCACTTAACACATTGTGGTGCGTCAGGGCTAAATGGGTGGAGTTTCCCTGTATGCAGTGAGAAAATGTGTTTAAGGCCATAAACCTAAGAAAACTTTGTTTAAATGTGTTTTAAATCACTCACGTTACCCATTACACAGTGATTAATGTTTATTTATTTCACAATGGTTCTATGGGTTACAGTTAATGCTGTGGTAAAAGACATTTTGCACAATGAGTTAAGTTGTACACAGTTAGTGACCTCCCACCTGTGCAAACATTAGAGTATTTTATATGAATGTGCTAAGGCGAACTACAAAGCATTCCTGACTCTGTATTCATCCCTTTGTCTTAGTCTTTTACACCAAGAAACCTATATTACCCGCAATAAACTTTTATGATCACATAAAATAAAAAAGTGTTGTACAATGCTAACTCAATGCTTTTGCATTCACATGATTGGAATAATGTAGGCCTACTCAAACAAAAACAACAAAAAGTTATGTTAAATTGATATTAAATTCCTGTCAGACAAGGGCCATGTGCCACATTAATCTTCTTTTTTCTTCCTTAAGTTTTTTGTTACTATATTGTTCTAAACTAAAAGTTTTGAGTGCAAGGAAAAGGTCGAATTCAAGCGGCACTTCAGTATTTTCCTGTTCATCTTCAAATGGTTTGGGTTGGCTATTTTTAACTGTAACACTTTATTTTCAAAAGAAATCAAATAAAGCACGCAACAGGTCGTGTAACTTAACGCTTGTGAAATCATGTTTCGTCGTAATGTGTCTTCGTTTCCTCGCCTGCACAAGACGATTTATCAGTACTTCCACACTGAGAATCTCGCGCATCTGCATGTGGTAACATAAGCCCTATCACAAAGACCAGAGACAAACAGCTAGCTAAGATGTTACAGAGAATACCTGCAGGTAAGTTACACTAGTTACGCTACATCATTAAGGTATCTTCTGGGATATTCGAACTGTAACGTCACAACACTACACACCATGGTTTGTATGGTTACCATGGAGTAAATACCTCTATATTTATCAACTAAATTCTGTTTAGCAAACATACACCTTATAACGTGGCGTTAACGATACCTGAAACTGATCAATGGCTTTCAGGGGCTCCGTACAGTTGGTGAGAGTTTCTTTAAGATCCTCTCCGTTGGATATCCCGAGCTCAGGCAGCCCCGCGAACATTGTCGCTCCTGTTTAAGCATCAACTTAACGATGTATTGAAGAATTAACTATTCTACCATGTGAATCTGCGAGTGAATCTGCGAGTGAATCTGCAGCCCCCAACGCATTACGCTCTCCGCTGTCAAAGCAAACTTCCTGTGTTGTAACTTTGTAAACAGTCCGTCAGGAAAGCCTGCGACGCAACTGTTCCGTGCTTAATTTGTCCTTCTTCTTCTTTGGTTTTCAAAGGCGGTGTGCATCCAAAAATTTGCATTACCGCCACTCATTGGATTTACACTGAGGTTTCCACTTAATAGATTAAATAATAATAATAGTACTAATTATTATGAGCCCTTTCCATCCCGTTCCCACTCTATTGTATATGTCCTATTTTCCGGTTGTTTGAGAGAATTTAAAAGCTTCTCTCAAAAGCTGCATTACACCTTCTCCAGAAACCCCACAACATCCTGAAATCGCCTTGTTGCATCTATGATTGTTTCAGTTTTCTCAGATTTTCTTTCTATTCCAGCAGTACAGTTAATAACCAACAATGTTCCTCATACATAGTCTGTGCTTCTCGAAGCCAAGAGTCCATTTTACACTGCCTGTTCAAAGCGGGAATATCACGCCATTATGCCGCCTCACTATATCTAAGGTTCGATCGCGGAATGGGGGGGGACATAGTGGTTTTGCCTTTAATCCACCATGGGAGGTAGTAACAGCGCTGAAATGGTGTCTGTATAAATATGACAGTCATGTGGTATGGGTATGATATTTTGACGATGCGTAATGCTGTAGATGAGATGTCAGCAAATTGGGAAAACATGAGATCCGGGAGCTGCTTACCCTCCGAGCAGAGGACCAGATCAGCCGCCACGTAACAGGGACGGTAAATGATTGTTATTGACTATTTAATGCCATTGTTGTTGTTCAAAAAGCAATGCCGATGCGTATTTGTCACACTAGATGCCCTGTGGTGCGATCTCTGTGTAAAACGGGCTAAAGATGCTTCCTTGGTAGGACAGGCCCTTCCAAGTCGAGTTCTACAGAGACTAGGCAATGCTCCTTCCTAGCATTCTGTGAACACACATTGAAACAGAGTAGCAAGTACCCAGGCATGCATCAGTGAAGAGGCCCCGCCTTCAATTCAGGCAAGTCATTGGAATTGGAAAGATCCTTCCTCAACTTTCAGAAGCACCAACTGTCTTACTGAATAAAATACATGGTCCAAATATACCCTATCCAGCAAGTATTTCAAATCAAAGTGAAGCATGATGGAGATTGTCTCAAACTTTTGCTGAGTCACTTTGTAAAATCTCCTCATCCTGAAATAGTCGGTGAGCGGGGAAGGGAGAGAGAGAGGAAGAGAGAGTGGGAGATCATTAATATCTCAGTGGTATAGTTTATTCCTATTTCTTTGATGAGCTGACCTACTCATGAAAACAAGTGCTGTGTTTTCATTATTTTGCACTGGCCCACACAGAATATAACTTGTACTTTGAGTACTTTTTTTTTTTTTTTTTTTTAGTTGAGTAGGTTTTTCAAAGGGTAGTCTTCAGTTCAGTTTTGGGGGTGGTGACATTGATGTGTATCCAGTGTAATGTTTCCCATAGAACTAGAAAGCCCCAACCAAGGGTGTTGTAGATGGAGTCTCACACAAAGTGGAGGCTTGGAGATTTATGGAGTGTAAAGGCATAACAGACAGTTTTAGTCCGTGAGCCAGGACCCCAAATTTGGCCCACTGGTACCACCTTGGGAGAATAATTGTCATAGTGATTTTTAGCACTGTATACATCTCTAGTGTTAGAAAAAATGTGATAGCCTTGCACCGGTGGTAGTTTTCTATGTGATATCACTTGATTTATAACCCCATAGGAAAACTAAAAAGGAGCTCAAAAAAAAGCCTGGCTGAATGGAGGTTAAGTCATATAAATCCATGTAAATTGACAATGCAAGCTCTGAGAGCTACTAAACTTGTCATGCCTGACGGCAGGATATCCCTTTACATAATAGAAAAAAACAGAATGCAAATATCTCAATGCAAATAGGAGATACAGACTTATAAACACATACCTAAAATAGCCGGAAATGTAAAAGATGGGGAGCCAAGACTGGGACCTCTCCCTAGAACTGATGGACAAACTCGAGGCATTTACGTGTGCCCTGTATGCTCCGAAACCATCAACCACCAAGGTCAACGAGCTCAGGTATCACCTTTTCTGTACGAAAAAAGGTGAAATCGAAAGCCATCAACTCCCACCGTGTAAGGACTGCTTAAGAAAACATGCACAGCGAGCCAGCTATCAAGCTTGTGTATGGAGAAGGTGTTTGGAGAACGACCTCCAAGTCCCAAGCCCTGTTGGCAGAGGATGGAAGATGGAGAAAGAAGAGGACACTGAACACTTGGTGGTAGATTGGATGGAAGGCCAGCCAGCACTGGGGGCCATCCTGGAACTACTGGCCTGTAACTGTACAAAAAAATGCACACTTTCAAGATGTGTGTGTGTTGCAAATGGCCTCAGATATACAGACGTGTAGACTGCCTGAGAACCAGGCATCTACCAATGATGGTGTGGAAAGTTCAGATGAAGATGTGGAAGACGAGGATGACTCTTGTGATTATTAGGTAATGTAAAAGAAGTAAATAGTACAGTAACAATAATAGTGTTTGCCTGCTTCACTTGTTTGGTGTCCCCTGCCTTACCTTGTCTCTGTCTCTGTCTCAGGATTATCTTAACGTTTATTCCCTCATGGAGTGCTCAGCCTGACTCACCGCCCTCTCCCTGCTCGCAGACTAAAGCCTACTACTGTTGGTCAGTTGCAAGCTTTTGAGTATAGTTTCATATATTCATGTACACTTGTAGTTAGAGTTAATCCTCCTTACCACTTTGTTCTGCTCTAACCAGCTGTCTCCTCTACTTCTTCCAGGCCTCCTCCACTTAAACTCCATTGTCTCCTCACCCTCCAATGCTCCACCCTTACTGTCTCTGGACTCCTTCCTTCCACTGTCCCTCCATCCCTGACCTAAACCCTTTTTCAGAACCACCATTCCCTCACTATTTCACCCTGGATCACTCTGTTCTCTCAGACAGATCTCCCCCATTGCTTTCAACCCCAAAATCCCTCTCGGATGCTCCATATTGGACTCTGATTGTACAACGTACAGCACCCTCTACATTAGGATTCACAATTTTATTATTAAAATCCATGTGATTACATGTGCCTTAGGGTTTTTATTGACTTTTCCAACATAAACAACAGGCCAATAATTGTTAAATAATACCATAAGGGATCTCTACAAATTAAATGAAGTCAAAAGCTACTGTTTTGTTTGCTTTCATTTGGGACACCTCATGTTTCGTGGGCTGACTCCCTGAATATGCAAGCTATCTTTACAGTTTTGGTATCGCTGGATTCAGTACAACCACACCTTTCCAACAAGCCAACATGTGTTGCTATGAAAATCCATGGCAGAGATATTGCAAAATAATTGAGAGCATTCTACATAGATGCCCATCTTTTACATTTCTGCCTATTTTTAGTTATGTGTTTATAAATCTGTATCTCCTATTTGCATTAAGATATTTGCATTCTGTTTTTTTCTATTATGTAAAGGGATATCCTGTTGTCCAGCATGACAAGTTTGGTAGCTCTCAGAGCTTGCATTGTCAGTCTACATAGATTTATATGACCTAACCTCCATTCGGCCAGGCTTTTTTGGAGCTCTTTTTAGTTTTCCTATGGGGTTATAAATCAAGTGATATCACATAGAAAGCTACCACCGGTGCAAGGCTATCACATTTTTCTAACACTAGAGATGTATAGGCTACCGTGCTAAAAATCACTATGAGAATTATTCCCCCAAGGTGGTACCGGTGGGCCAAATTTGGGGTCCTGGCTCACGGACTAAAACTGTCTGTTATGCCCTTACACTCTATAAATCTCCAAGCCTCCACTTTGTGTGAGACTCCATCTACAACACCCTTGGTTGGGGCTTTCTAGTTCTATGGGAAACATTACACTGGATACACATCAATGTCACCACCCCCAAAACTGAACTGAAGACTACCCTTTGAAAAACCTACTCAACTAAAAAAAAAAAAGTACTCAAAGTACAAGTTATATTCTGTGTGGGCCAGTGCAAAATAATGAAAACACAGCACTTGTTTTCATGAGTAGGTCAGCTCATCAAAGAAATAGGAATAAACTATACCACTGAGATATTAATGATCTCCCACTCTCTCTTCCTCTCTACCCTTCTCCTCCTTATCATAACATCACAGATTAACATTGCACATGAAGAATTAACATAACAAATGTAAGCTAGCTAACTACATTTTCACCTATAGTATGTGCAACTTGAGTGCAGGGTCTCCACCAGAAAAGTTGTTAGGCCAGGTGGCAAGCATTTTTTGATTGGGCCTGGCTCTGGCTGGTGGACAAATGTCTTTTTTGATGGGGGCCAGTGACACTTAGTTTGTGTTTTAATGCTAGAAATGCAGCTAAGTTATATTGAAATAAGTTTTTGTGTGTCTCATGCATATGAAATATGATGCAGATTGGGTATGAATTTATGAGTGATTGAAATAGAGGGACAAAACAAGATTTTGCAAAGGACCCCCAAAAAGCTAGAAACAGCCCTGCTTGCGCTCCCTCTATACTTAAACTTTGCATATACAGCAGACTTGTAGTAACACAGGTATAAATGGCAAATGTAGTGAAGTAAAACGTAGATTACTGGCTCAAAAATACTTGAATAAAAAGTAGAAGTACAGTTAAAAACAGGTCCATGAACAGGAACATAACTAGTCCTGGATATACCAACAGCCATACAAGATGTAAATGTGACAGATTTATTCAGCTGATTAAAATGAATATGTTAAAGTTAATTAAACTAAAACATCTGTTGGAGAAAAATGCCTTCACAGATACTATGACCACAGCTGAGCACTCATTTGAATGTATACAATCTGGGTTTTATTCCTTTATTCTTACATTTAGCTTTCATAATTTGTAGGCACTTGTGCCTGTTAAAGTCTCCTCAGGTGTCTTCTGAAGTGTAGATGTGTTGCTTCAGTCACAACAAGGAGAAAACAGAGAACATACTGCTCTAATGTGGTCATGTTGTGTTGTCTCAAGTGGGTGTATTAGTACTTAATGGATCTAAGACATTATTATAATTAAATTATTTTGTAGTTTAATTTACACATACACAATCAAGCAGAAGGGTTCTGGATTTGCAAAAAAAAAACTGTGCAGGCTACATTTTAGTGCTGTGTTGATTTTGTGTACATGCACACAATAGTTCAAGAAAAAAATCTAAATATATTTGCAGTTTTTTCCAAAACTGAGCAATATGAATTAGACTGGGAGGTGTGTTTCCCTCACTTTTACACCATGCCTTCTTTAGTTCTTGTGTTTCTGTAGATCATCAGTAGGTATACCAGTGCAATGAGGAGGAGGAGGATGAAGAGGAAGAGAATGCCAGCCCAGGTCCCTGGAGGCAGAGCCTTCATCAGTCCAAATCTCTCTGCTGGTACCATACTGCTCAGATTCAGCATGTACCCCAGAGCCCAGCCTATGGAGGCTCCGCCTACCTGCAAAAACACAAGAAGGGACCCACTGAAACCAAAGCACACCATGGACAAGTCTGCTGCTGTCAGTGCCGTAGACAGTGCAGACTTAAATCGTAGCAAATGATGAACAGAAAGGTTTCCTTTACCACTGACATTTTTCTGAAAAGAGATGGAAAGAAGGGAGTCTTCATCAAAATGGTAGCCCTGCAGTAAGAGGACCTGGACGAAGTTGGAAATGGCGCAGACATTCTTCATGTATTTCTCTTTCTGTTTTGCCTTTTCTGTCAGCTATGAGTGGAAATACAATTGATTTTATATTGTTATTCAAATCACAATCACAATATTCAATACCAGATAACATTTGGGTTTTGGGGTTAAAATGAGAGTCTACTGGCCTATTTGGTGGTTTTAAACATGAGCATGTTTGTGAATTATTATCATTATTATCATTATTATTAGTATCATTATTATTATTTTTTGTGTTAATTTTTAGGTTTGGGCTCAGAGAGCTGGGTTCTGGAGAATACCTCAGAGATGGTCATGTTGCAGACAAGTTGAATTGCACTCTTCAGTCGATTGGGGGACATGATGGAGATGTTGGTGAGGCGGCTGAGGTAGTTATGTGTGAAGTAGAAGGCAGAGAATGCCTGTAGAGAAGATGGGACACTAAGTCAATCCAGAGTGACTGACTGACAGACAGAATGACTGACTGACAGAATGACACACTGACAGTTTCTGTGATTATGTACAGCATACCATACCATGACTTAGTCATACCAAAAATTAGAAAAAACCCCCAAAACATTCGGCCACAGGGGGAGCCACAGCAATCGGTCGCATTTTAGCCATTTTAAAGCATTTTTCTGTTGTTATAGCGCCACCCAGTTGCCAATTAGATACATACTACATATCTACCAAGTTTAGTAAAAATCGATATGGCGGTTAGGCATATATAAGAAATTAGCTCTCTAGCGCTCCCATTTTGTTTGATTGGGTCAATAATGTAGGGGTCCCCTCAGATTATGTGTGGTCATATGCCTACAAAGTTGCATGGTGATCGGTGAAACCCTTGAGATGCTATACACCTTTATCTGATGAGCCACGCACTCCGCAATATTCATTGCCTTATAGAAGAAGTAAGTTTTCCAAATTCTGCCAAGAGGGAACTTTAGATATTGGTCCCTAGATTATGTTCACTGAGTTTCATGCAGATTGGTCAAACTTCCTAGGAAGAGATTGATTTTTTTCCAAAAATTCAAAATGGCCAAAAATCTATATAACTGTTATGGGTTCTAAGGCAAATTTGTTCCTCATGAGGAGAGGCATCTCTGTGCAAAGTGTCATGTATCTATGACATACGGGGCATCAGATATGTCCATTAAAAGTTTGCAATTTCAGTGGGTTGCTATAGCGCCCCCCTTTGGCCAATTGATGTAATATTGCTTCATTCGCATCCTCCCATTACCCTCTACCACTGTGCCAAATTTCACGTGGATTGACCGAGTCAGTGAGGAGAAAAACATGGAACAGACACACCCACAGACGAACAGAGTTTTCGTCATTATATAGTAAGATAATGATTACGGCTATTGTGGTACAATACGTTGAAAGTATATATTAATATATGATAGTATACATATGTGCTAATAATCATGTGTATAATAACAGTAGAAGTATGGCTAATGATAGCAGCAGCAGGAGGCATCAGGCAGGACTACGGCAGCAGCACAACCACACACGTCACACTATCCAGGCACCGCTGTGATATAAGTTAACATGCGAGACAGTGGAGCACAAAGGTTCCGGAGAAGAAGCCGAGTTAGGGACATGCAGTATGGCCGAGTTAGCAAGATGCAGTTACAGGACATGAGTGTTAGCAAAAGGGAGAGAGAGAGAGAGAGAGAGAGAGAGAGAGAGAGAGAAGGTGCTCAGTGTATTATAGGAGGTCCCCCGGCAGACTAGGACTAAGTCAGCCTAACTAGGTACAAGGCAAGCCTCAGCCGGCCCTAACTATAAGCTGTATCAAAGAGGAAAGTCTTAAGTCTAGTCTTAAATGTGGAGACGGTGTCTGCCTCCCGGACCACAACAGGAAGATGATTCCACAGAAGAGGAGCCTGATAGCTGAAGGCTCTGGCTCCTGATCTACTTTTGGAGACTTTAGGGACCACAAGTAACCCTGCATTCTCAGAGCGCAGTGTTCTGGTGGGATAATATGGCACTATGAGCTCTCCAAGATATGACGGAGCTTGACCATTTAAAGCTTTATAAGTTAGGAGTAGGATTTTATCTAAAACAGTGGAAATGTGTTCTCGCGTCTTAGTTTCAGTCAGTAGACGTGTCGCTGCGTTCTGGAGAGTTTTTAAAGACTTATTAGAGCTACCAGATAATAGGGAGTTACAGTAATCCAGCCTAGAAGCGTGGACCAATTTTTCTGCATCTTTTTGGGTCAGGATATGCCTAATTTTCACAATATTACGCAGATGAAAAAACGTAGTCCGTGAAGTTTGTTTTAAATGGGAGTTAAAAGACAAATCTTGATCAAATATTACTCCGAGGTTTCTTACAGTAGTGCTAGAGGCCAGAGCAATGCCATCCAGAGAAACTATGTCATCAGATTAAGAGTCTCTGAGTTGTTTGGGACCAAGAACAATAACTTCCAGTCTCTGTAGCAGAATTTGATGGTCAGTTGTGATCTAATAAAACAAGTACAGAGACGAGTCCTTTGTCTGAAGCAATCAGAAGGTCATTTGTAATTTTAACTAGTGCTGTCTCAGTGCTATGATGCACTCTAAATCCTGACTGAAATTCCTCAAATAAATTATTATTGTGGAGAAAGTCACACAGCTGGTCTGCGACTACTTTCTCAAGGATCTTTGAAAGACAGGGAAGATTAGATATTGGTCTATAGTTGGCTAACACCTCTGGATCCAGGGTGGACTTTTTTAGAAAAGGTTTAATTACAGCTACCTTAAGATACGGCGCAGAACCCTCAAACTCCCAGGCCTCTGGTAGAGGACCCAAGCTTAAGGAAGGCACACCACCCCCATAGGGATTATACAGTTTTTTAGGCAGTTTCCACTTTGCAGAGCATTACTATGCACATTGCTCCCTGACTTTAGCCTAATCATACACATAACAGTCCCCTCCATTTTCCATTGCTATCATTTTTTGACCTACAAGTTCCTTGCAGGAGTATGAATGGATGGAAGCAACAGCGTACCCACCACCACACCACTGTTGAAAAAATTGATTGTGGTGGGCTAGTAAAGTGGGGTGCAACTTTTTAAAGCTCCTTTGGACATAATCATGAGCTTCACAAACTTTGGATTGAGAATGTAAAAAACGTTAGGTAAAACTGTCAAGAAGGACACTAAGAAAGGAAACAAACATTTTCTTCAACATTCTTTGACAAGCTGTGTATTAATGACTGATGTAACATTATTTCTCAGTTGAACTTCTTTTTGTCCATAAAGTAATGTGTTATGATATTTCCTTATCCGCTGTGAGGGTCATAAGGACAGAGGGATGTCGTATGCTGTAAAGCCCTGTGAGGCAAATTGTGATTTGTGATATTGGGCTTTATAAATAAAATTGATTGAATTGATTGATGATATATGTAAAGTATTGACATTTACTGATAAATTGGTATACACTATGTTGTGGAGAATGAGAAAACATTGCAACTTTAACAACATTAATGTTGGTCTATGAGTAAAAACTATTATGCACTTTTTTGTTACTTTTGCCCCATCCGTCTAAATGGCTCTCTTACCATGAAGTTTCCGCTCATACTGGGCTGGAAGACTCCATCAAAGGAGCACTTGGAGTAAGAGCAGCTGTCGAAGGAGAACATCTTTGTGACGTTGTCCAGGCAGTTCTGGTAATCTCCTGTGCCCACGACTGATACAGTCATCTGAGGATTAAACTGGGCCGGCCTGTAGCTCTTAGTACACGGAGAATCAAAGACATCCTCCCCCAGCTTGATAGATATGTTGAACTGTTGTGGATAGCAGGGATGGTACACTTGAGGTTTCACACCTTGAGTCTTAAAGAGGCAAAATAAATAAATAAATAATAAGAAATAAAGATTAGTAGTAAAGTACAGCATATAACAAGTAGGCCTGTAGTTCCAAGTAAACTGGTAGACTAGAAACATATACAATTTACCAGCCTGAATAGTTTGACATTTTTGAAAAAAGGCTTAGGCTCTTTCTTGCAGAGAGTCAGATGAGAGCTGCAGCTCTAACGGCCTCTCTGTGCATTGCGTTCACGTGTGTGCGCTTGCGCGCGAGACCAGCAAAAGCACGTGAACACACGAATGCGGTGCCCATGTCTCACGGTCTTGCGCAAGCGCGCACATGTGAACGCGGTGCACAGAGAGGCAGTTAGAACTGCAGGCTACAATGAGGCTAAAAACAGAGTTCAAATGACGTTTTTTCAAATGACTTTTTATGTAGGGGCTTCAGTACACTTGGATCACTACGGACAAGCAGTATGGAGATATTTTGTAGTTTCAATTATATATTTTTGGACGTTTGAATCTGGGGCGCCGTAAGCCCACATTAGGTGGAGTTGTGTTGCTACCCCCTCTCCCCTTGAATCTCCGCAAGTGATTTGAGGACTCTAAAACTTCACCTGAGCCTCCATCGGCATATGGGTGAGTAGATAATGGCTGAATTTTCATTTTCGGGTGCACTATCCCTTTAACATAAAGACTGGAAATGGGGAACAGGTAGCCTGGCACTGTCCGAATGTTAAAAAAAAAAAAAAAAAATCCACCTACCTACTAATGCCTGTACCCTCTTGGAGTCCCCACTGGTTGCCTTGCAATCTCACAGTGTTGGCAAGATTCCAGTATATCACTGCTAATGGCCAAGAAATAGTCTGGCACCACAAATTGTTATTTTACATTTTGGGTTTTGTCCAGATTAGGCAAGTGAAATACAGTGTGTCAATTAGTGAGCCTTAAGTGCACATTATATTGAGAGTATTTTCACCATGTTACCTTTCCATGAGTCAGCTTGTTTAGCAGTTAGCGGCTTCATTTCTCCATCTATGCTCTCGTCAAAGCCACCAGACTCCATTGAGAGAAAAAGTATTTTAGCTCACTGAACATGGGAGCTGCTCGTCTCTCACTGCCTCGATTAGTAAGTTCGTTTGTGTTATTGCGTGACTTTGGCAAAACTTAATTAACCCTTTTAAATGCCAAAGTCATACACTAACACAACTAATAATTGACTGATTGAGGCCACAGCAGACCAGCAGCTCTTGTGTTCAGCAGTGTTAAATCACTGTGTTTTCAATGGAGTCTAGCTTTGAAGAGCTAGCTAGAATAATTGCATATTTTTCCACAGGTAACCACTGTCTGCCATTAAGGTAAAGCAGTGAAAATATTCTAAATAGAGTGTACACTCAAATTGATGTTGTGGTTTTTTTTTTAGTTGGGACTTTTTTTTAGGTAAAGCTTTCATGTCAAACTCCAGACTGCTTCTCTAAACTGGGGCTGTGCTGACTGACATTTACTGTTTGTAATATACTGACTATGGATAAGTACCTCACACAAACCCACTTCAAAAAATCTGAACTATCCCTTTAAGGCAGAAATCATGAAAATGTTGATGTTTATTAACAGCCATATGTAACTGTTAGGCTTTGCATGTTATGAACAGTACCTTGATAAGATAGGCCAGCAGTTTCTTTACAAACTGGCCTTGACCGTAGCACAGGAAGCTCTGGGTGTATAGTCTGTAGGTTTGTCCATAAAACTTAAGCTCCATCACTTTCTCCTTGTCCTCCACCTCTTCCGAGGTCTCAAAAGTAATCTGTGTGGAAGCTCCGCCCAAATCCAAAGCTCCACTTGTCTTCCTGCCTGGATTCAGCCAACGCCCGACAAAACTGTACTGAATGGCAAGAAAGGAAATGTCAAGATACAACAATTTGAACTGAAGTAGGACAATCAAAATATTCCAGTACTGAGCAGAATTTACTCTGAGAAAAACATCCAGCCAAAAACACCGATATTTTCAAAGCCCCTGTGTGTTTTAGTCATGAAACCAATGAGAGTTTAAGGCAACGTCAGTCGGTCACAATCTGTCAGTTGGTCTATCATTGTGGTTCAGAGTGACACAGCCCTATGGATTGCCATGAAATTTTGTATGACCTGTAAAAGATGAATCCTAATGACTGTGATCCTCTGACTTTTCAGTTAGCACCACCAGCACATCAAAGTATTCACTGCACTAGAGTAGACATTTACTGGATGGATGGGCACAAAGTATGGTGCAGTAATTCCCAGGTGTCGAATCCTAATAACTCTGGTGACCCTCTATGGAGTTAGATTTGTGTCTTTATTACATGCAAGAAAATAAATGATATGAGAGAAAAAAATGTTTGAGATAAAAAAAATTATTTGAGTTTTCACACTGATAGCAAAAATAATAATATTTGAAACTAAAAAAAGTTTTGAGAGAAAGTATTTTGTCATAGAAAAAAGATTTCCGAGAAAAAAAACTCTCTCTCAAAAAACTTTTTTTTACTCTCAAATTTTTTTGCTATCAGCGTGAAAACATTTTCTCTCAAAAAAATTGTTTCTGACAAAACATTTTTCTTCTCTCTCTCAAAACCTAAAGGCCCGAACATACTCGGGTGGACCGTACGCGGAACGGACTCCGCGAGGAATGTCCGCAGTCATTCGGGCTTCCATTGTCGAGCGCACTTCCACGTTGTAGTTTCCTGTAAAAGGGCTTGCGAACGTCCGCTTTGAGTCCGCGCGGACCTCCGCGGAGTCCGTTCCGCATACGGTCCACCCCAGTATGTTCGGGCCTTTAGTCTTTGCTCTTGTGTCAGGATTTTGCTTTTGCTGCGAAAATAATGTCATTGGCGGGGCCACGTTCCTATTGGCCAGTCTCAATCGAATTGACAGCTGGGTGAGGATCGTCTTGGGAGTTGAATTCAACTGAATCATTCATCCACCATGGTCGATTCAAATGACCATCACTAATATCATGCTACTTGTTGGCTATATTGTATGTCATTTCCAGTAAATATCACAATATAAAATGCATGTTTTCTGTTTAAAAAATAAAAAACGTTGAAAAATAGCTTGTATTCGCCCATCCTTTAAGTAGTTACGTTTCTAGTCGAGCACACAGCTGATAGGTAGTTACATGGTTTGTTTACATTAAGTAACAGAAGCATATTTAACAGACTCAGTGTGGACAGAGAGCGATGCTTGCTTGCTGTTAGGACACTATGTAAAATTCATATGAGGCACGCATTTTCCATAAAACCATTTTTAAAAAGTGTGTGCAGTGCACCCACCACACCACAATGGGAGAGTAGATGCACAGCCAGGACACTGTCATGTGTTTTTGGCATGAAAATGTAAAAGCCAGACAAATGAGCTCAGCAAGACGATTGTGAGGTATTCCAAAAGTAATTCAAAGTATTTAAAAGACATTACTCAGTCTGAGTAATCTTATGAAATATGTTACAAATTTCATTTTAGAATACACATTCAGTAATCAGTAGTGGAATATATTTTAATAGTAACCCTCCCAAAACGACACACTGTACACTCGATGCACACTTTCCCAATGCCTTTTCAAAGTGGTATTCAGAAATAAGTGTATTTCATAATTCACAACAGTCTATAACAGTCCACTTGTTGGCAGTAATCTGCCTTAATAAGCTTCCTCATGCTTGTGGTCTTAGTGGGCACTTAAACACTGGTAGTAACCATAAATACATCACACAAATACACTTTAAAAAATGATAGAGGATAACACTTAAAATAAAGAAGTTTTTCAACATAAAAAAAATATGTTAAAACATTAACATGTTTTAGTCAGCTGACAACTTATTTTAAGAAGCTGGTCAAAATCAAAAACCTTTTTGACATTTTTGAGTATGACCGAATTAAAATAATAAGTAAGAATATAACTAGAAAAATAATTTGACCAGTAAATATCACCACAACTTTTGGATAAATATTAAGTTGGTTCAACTTAATTGAGCTTTTCAAGATCAAGGCAGATCATGTTGGTTGTACTAAACTGATTGAGTTTGCCAGATTATAAAAGACTTATATCAATAAGGCCAGAGTGGGAACCACTTAACAGGATGAATGCAAGTTGTTACCTTTATTTTGTTTTGTTTTGTTTTCTAAGTTAAGCCAGTGGATTATTTTTAGAGAGTGCTCTTAAAAAATGATTTATGGGGTTAGTGGATAATGCTTAAGACAGCGGTGTCCAAACTTTTTTATTAGGGGTCAGTTCAGATAATATGAAAATATCTGGGAGCCAATTGCTTCTCACATCTAATGGGTTATTTAAATCAAAAAAAGAAAGAAAAGTCACGAATAAATGAGACAAAAACACATGTTTCATCTTAGTGAAGTATTCAACTCTCCATTACTGAAAGTGACGGTTCCCCTTTCCACTTTCCACTTCTCTGCTGTGGCCATGTCTGCTTCCTAGCAGGAAATGTCTGCTGTTAGGTAAGCATTCTATTTGCCTAATAACCATCTGTTTATCATTACATATCATTACATTAGTTCCACCTGTGCAGTTCCTACTTTTGCACATCTACAAACTGTATGATGATCCTGTCATAGTGAGGTGAATGGAAAAAAAATGCTTTGTTTTTGTTTGATTAACCAATATTGTGTGACTGGCCATATATATTAAGTTGATTTTGAAAAGCAAGCCGAGGGCTGTTTAAAATTGGTCCACAGGCCACAATGGGTCCCCAGGCCAGACTTTGGACATGCCTGGGTTAAAATAAATATGTTTTTCAGCATAACAGATTAGTTACATTAAAGTGTTTTAGTCAGTTTACAACCTTTTTTCAGAGGTTGATCAAAATCCTAAACATTTTCTACATTATTGAGTACGTTAAATAAAAAGGATAAGTTAGAATATCTTATGGAAAATAATTTGACCATTAAATATCACCACAACTTTTGGATAATTATTAATTTGGTTCAACCTCATTAATCTTTTCAAGGTCAAAGCAAATCATGTTGGTTGTATAAAACTGATTGAGTTTGTTAGATTATGAAAGACTCATAGGATTGACTCAATAAGGCCAGATTGGGAAAAAGCATCTAAGGGCTGATTATTTTCCTCTGTGATTTCCTGTGTGTTGAGCAAAAATGTCAGAGCTCACCTTGACAAAGTTTTCAAGTAAGTAGTTGACTGTGACCCAACCATATGCCCCCTCCTCTTGTCCACTCAGGATGGTTGCCTCCTTGAATTTGAAAGGGTATGACCGCAGTTTGTTCTCCACTTCCTTCAGTACTCGCTCGGACTCTGTGGCATTAACCATGCTATTAAAGTGTGGTGAGAGTTAGATGGGGAATGAAACAATATTAAATTCTTCCAAGATCCATTCTCATGCATTCATGCATTATTGATAAGCAGTGTGGTAGATATATTAGTACAATGTCCTGTCTTAATAGGAATTTATACTAACTTCAAGATCCTCATCCCTGCAGTAGCTCCCAGACAGAGTGGAGTTTGGTGGTGCCTGGAGTTGGGGATATCCTTCACAGCTTGTTCCAGACAGGCCTCCAGACTTGCTGCTGCACCACCAAGAATACCTGCATAGCTGGATATACCTCCACCTTGACAGAAAGAGAAAGTAGTTCTGTTTACAGCTTGACCCTCTCAAAAAGTGGACTTCCTTGTCTTAGAAGGATGAATGATGAAGGCTCTAGTTGGTGTTTCCAGGGAAACTCTAAAAACAAACCAGGAACAACTGGCAATGACTAAGATGGCACAAATGGCATGGTGAGGAAGTAGAGCACTTAGTAACAGAAGTCTTACACAACACATAGCATGTTGACCTTGCTTCTGTGGTTTTCTTATAAAGTCATTGGATATGTTTCTGTAGGATGACATTGTGGAAGTGGAAGTGAGAATTTCTTCACCACCAGGACAGTCTGGGGTTAAAGTGTCAGTTCAGAGTAAGAAAACAAACATATTTTCAAGTCAAACTCCAGTGGTATATACATGAAATGTTTTGGTTAAGCTTGACCAAGTTTTGAGATTTGTAATTAAAGTGAATGGCATTTTTGAAATTTTCATTTGCTGCTGTGAGCAGCGTAAGTTGACCTGCACTTTACTGTGATAAAATTAAAGTTGATGGATCTTAGAACTTGGGCAAATTAAAGGCCCTGACAAATTGAGTCAGCAGGCATTCGTTGGTCAGTGTTGGGCTCTTGGTGAACATCTGTGGCCCTCGCTGCTGCAGTATGGCCCTTGTCAGCGCTAGTCTGCTTTTTTTTTTTTTTTTTTTTTTACCAATTTAGTATGTTGATCAAATTTTGAATTCTGCCATCAGAATTCTGGGCCATCATTCCTCTTTTTTTCACTTATGGATCAATTAGTCTTTGTAAAAAGACATTCCAGGTGTTTTCTGTGCTGTCTAGCTGAAGTCTGCAAATTGTGTTTGTCAGAGTTTTGTCTCGAGTTTTTTGACACTAGTTAGAAATCTGCCTGTAAATGCATATACAGCTGATATGCTACACCCTGGTGGTTGGCTGTATCACAGTGTAAAGTCATCTTTATATTATATACTGGTAAGGTAGCTTAACTTGATAGCAACCTCCCATGTAAAGGCTGTGAATTCGAGTCCTGGGCGGTGCAGTTTTAACATGCTTCTGCCTCCTCAGATGTTGTGCTGTGTGGGTTAGAAACATGTGATTTCAAAGCTATTTCAAGAATTAATGAGATTAATGAGAATTAATGAGATTCTTCCAAGAGAGTTCTACCAATGGATTCTCATGGATTTGTTATTTGTCTTCCTCCTCTTCTTCCTTTTACTCTTTCTCATCCCCCCTTCTTCTTCTTCTTTTCTTATGTCTTCTTCCATATCTGAACACTTCTCCATAGGTATGTTTGGCGTGGCCATTAGGCTTTCCCAGCACAGATAGCTCAGCTGGACCACAATTAGCCATTGTTCTTCTTCTTGCACCTTAAAAATGGATAATAGTATAATAACCCTAAAAAGCAGTGTTGCATCGTATGTTATGCCAGCCCTCTCTCACCCACTGAGAGGAGCTCACCTGCTGCATGACACTCGCTGTGCTGGGTAACAATACCAGTGCCATTTTGCTTGTCAGCCGGCCATTTGTAGATGTACATGGAGGTGTGGGATGAGCCTGCATCCAGAACAATCCCATACTGTAACAGACAGAGCATTACATGTCAGAAACAAAGGTTACAATAATGTAACCATAGCTCTTTTAGCTGAGGTGGAGCCCTCCCCTGGACTCTTTGGGTAATACCCCTCTAATCACTAGCACATCATTTACACACTGACAAAAGCATAGCCAATCAGAATGAGCCTACCTGAATACCTGGGACCTCACAGTATACAGGGAGGTGGATTCCCGCCATCAGACATCCTACACCCTTTTCAATGGGTGATGTAGGAACCACAGGGCCCCTAGGTAGAGCGCTGCGTCTTTGCTAATAGAACTCTAATAGACTCTTTTGGTACAGTTGGCGGAGCCTGATGAATGAACGCCGTCATGACATAACATCGACCCAGCCACACTGATCTTGACCGGCTAAAGGTTAGCCACTGTAGCCTGCCTACTTCTTCATAACCCAGGCCATCACAGTGTGGAAGTAGGGGGCCCCAGCCAACCCAGTTGGTAAGGAACCGAACTGGGTGGAGCTTTGGTCTAACCTTGCAGGGGTTGAAAGACAGGCAATAGACTGGGGAAGCGCCTGAAAGGCCTTGCAGGCAGGTGGCTGCTAAACACCACTGTGCTTGGTCTGCACCGAGGCACTGATGACATCCTTGAAGTGGCAACTCTATCCATGCAAGAAGCTGCTTAGTGTGCTACTTGCCATTCACTGAAAAGAAAAAAGATGTCTGACGGAAGGAATCCGCCTCCGTATATATTTTGGGGTCAGCATTTATTTAGGTAGGCTCATCCGGATTGGCCTCCTACATTTTTACTTTTCTCAATGTGCAAATGCGTGCTTGTGATTAAAAGGAGTTTTACCCAAAGAGTCCAGTAGAGGGTAGAGCCTGTGTGAGATGGAACATACATTATGTTAACAGAACATACATCATGCCTCCAGGACAGGGGCAGGCTGGGGTTGAAATTCAGCCTGGGAGCGTGGTTTGGAGAGGCCTTTTTTTTTCCGATCGCACGACGGACGCAAGTGGAACCGTCATTTTAACATGAATACTTTATTTGCAGTATAAAATCAATCTAATGATATTAACCCTATGGGCCCCAGGCCTTTTTTGGGGTATTTTTACTGCCTTTATTTTTAAGCTCATATCACAGTCATTATAAAGGCTACATACACATGCTATGTCTTGTTTTTTTCAGGACAATCTGGGCTATCCAGATTTGTCATCATTCCATGTCCTTCCAAGTGCCTGTATTTTATATTATTTTTTTTATATCAATGAAAAAAACAAATCTGTGACTAAATTCTTACATTTTTACATGTATCTCACCATAGCAAGTTGGAAGTTGACATATTCTGCCATATATGAAGAGGGGAGACTCTCTGGAATCTGGTAATGTAAGAACCATGATGGTGGGACATTCTGTCACTTCACAGTTGTCCAAAACATGTGATTTGTACCAGGCGGACATGATTGCCAGTATTTTTTCATTATTGCAAGAAATTCCACTGACTCATTCACAAGTCAAAAATGTGTTTTATCTGAAAGAAACATGCAATATTTACATCTAAGATAATAGAAAAATAGTCAACCAAGTGTAGTGCAGTGATGTCCTCCAAGATAATATTTGTCACTTTGTTTGCAGTTTTTTTGTTGTTGTTTTTCTGTTTCAGTTATATATTGGGGGGACATTCTGGGCATTGCGGGGGGGGGGGGGGGGGGGGGGGGGGGGGGGGGGGGGGGGGGGGGGGGCTCAATGTATATGGTGACTACGGCCCTGTCAGCATGCATAATTAGGCTGCAGTTGTCTGGTGAAGGTGTGAAGTGTGCTGGTCTTGTCATACAAAGTTTGATGGAGTGTCAACTGGACAATATGGAGATATTTGCATCTTGAAAGCTGGACTACAAATGTGGATAGACATGGAGAAACACATGCAAGCCTAAGACATGGTAAGATACGATATTCCTCACTATATGAAGTGACTGATAACAAGATCTGTATCATGTAGGGATGTAACGATACCAGAAACTCATGATACGATATTATCACGATATTTATACAAGGGGAAAAAAAGAGAAAATTTATTGTTAAAAATAGCTATTTTATTCAAAAATAGTGCATGTACACTGTACAGCATGTTATTTTTTAACTTGGAAGCGTATCATAAACAAATCAACACACAGTTGAACATGTGCTTTCATTTCCCCCCTATTACTGCTAGGCAGGCAGACATTAAAGTGCCATAACAAAGTCATGTCAATTAAAACTATAGTGACAGAATATGAAAATGGAAACATTCGGTATTTTTTAACCTACTCTGAACAAAAGTAGTGTAGTACTATTACTAGAAAGTCATCTGAATGACATCAAATTATGAGGATAGAGTAGTCTTAATATTCATCAAATATACAGAACTTAGAACAATCAGACCCTGCAACAACAAAATTAACAAATTAGAAATAATGTAAACTCAATAACACACAATCCCTCACTCACAGATACACAGAGAGACAGAGAGAGAGAGAGAGAGAGAGAGGGAGAGGTGGGTAGAGATGTGTGTAAAAGAAAACCAAAATAAATAAAGCCCAGCCATCTCCCTGGAAGTCATAGAAAAACTCAAAAACACACGATTCACTCAGTTTGTTCACGCCAGGTTGACAATCTTGACATCAAGGAGACCCTAGAACAGGAGATGAGGAGAGGAAAGCTCTAGTCCTGCGCTTTCATGTGATATGCATAATAATAAGAATAATCCATCCAAAAGTAATGTGTGTGCAAAGCTGTGTGAAAGCTTTGTTATACATTATTTTAGTGTAACTTTATCATTTTCTTTCTTGTCGGAAAGCCACGATTCCGCTGTTTCACGTGATATGCGTGGCTTCTCGCTATGACGAACGGTCGTGGAGAAAATCAATAGAGAAGAACAGTCAATCTCCTTAAGCCTGATTTATGGTCCTGCGTTGACTCAACAACGTCGCTACGTTGTTGCCGTGACGCCGTCGCGAACCCTTCGAACTTCTCCGTCACTCTGTTTCATCGCGGTGCAATTCCTCCGGTAGGAGGCTGCATTCCTTTCCTGAGTGGTTATTGTTTGTTTAGCTTCCGGCTTTTCCGGTCACAGAGAAACGAACGCGGAGCATGGACAGACGGCTCCGGCCGTATCCATATCCGTATTGAACGTTGAGCATAATAGCATATATATAATGAGCCTTAATACTGCAACATCTACATCGCAACAGAAGATGTTTAAAGATGGCGGGGATGGCGCAATCTGGAAATACGGAACCGGAAATGCGTTGCTACCAAGCAAACCAATCACAGCCCTGCCGGTCTGCGCTGGGTCTGCGTCGCCTCGACGTGTAGTTACATTTTTGGGGAGGTGTACGTCAGGCTATGCCGGGGGCTACTGCGAGCCTTCTGCGTAGCCCCGTACCCTACGACGTAGCTTCGTCGTTGATTCAATGCAGGACCATAAATCAGGCTTTACTTTTATTCGCTGTTTCCTCCGGTCACGCACGGGTCAGAGTCGAAGGCTGAGAGGCTGAGCTGCACGAGTCTGCTTTCACCTGCGCGCGCAGTTGCATGCAAAGGATTATGGGGAATGTAGTCACACAGTCATATTACCGGCTCTGTAGGAGAAAGCAGCTATATAACTACCGTGGCATTCCCAGGACGGTATCGAGAATTTATTTTATCGCGACACCGTGAAATTCGACATATCGTTTCATGCCTAGTATCATGGATTGTAAAGAAATTCGTCAGGTTTTTATTTTGTAGACAATTTGATCTGTATTTATAGCGTGATGGGATGACAGCACAATGATGTGTGGTATCATTGGAAAGCTCTGCTCCTGCGCTTTCTGTGATATGCGTGGCATTTCTGTGCGACCCTGCATTCGCGAGTAATCCATCCAAGAGTAATGTGTGTGTAAAGCTGTATGAAAGCTCTGCTATTCATGATTTTAGTGTAACTTTATCGTTGTTTTTCGCTGTGAAAACTGTGGACTACCAACAAGTGGTCTTGTCGGAAAGCTGCGGTTCCTCTGTTTCACGAGATACGCGTGGCTTCTCGCTATGACACACGGTCGTGGAGAAAATCCATAAAGAAGAACAGGTGTGAATTTGGACGCACTATGCGTCTGCTAATTTACCCCGCTCCTCTTTCTTTATTTTTCTTTTTGTAACAGGAAAACAACAGTTTATTGACTGAGCGGCTGAGCCAATCACATTTCAATAGAAGCAAGGATCAGCTCAAATTGGGAAGTGCCGCTCGTATCTCCCCTTAATATGCAAAATATTAGATTGACCCAGTCTGACGTTCCACTCTGTGCAACCTGCGGCTGCGAGGGCAGGCTGCTGCGGTCAACCGCGGCTGCATTTTATGGGGTAAAAAAATGACCACCGGCCGGTTCGGCCTGGAACAGACTGGCCGTTCGGGAATACTCCAAAACCTCCCTATGGCCAGCCCACCCCTGCTCCAGGACCTCACTCTAGCCATTATAATGTTGCTCAAAGTGTAATATATTGCTATGCTGATGTATCATATTGAACCAATATGACATCTGGAATGCTTCAGTGCACAGAAACTAATGTCAAATGGTATTGTCTGTGTACATTTTATTTACTATGTATTTGTATTAGCACTTGTCATCACTCGGTGTTGTACAACTTGTGCATGGTTCTTCTGTTTAGTTTGTTCTCAGCTGTGGTATTGACAGGATGTGGTTACAGCAGAGGCATCCTCTGAACTTTGCAACTTCTATACATTTTTTTGTTTAAGATTATTGCCCTTTGTGGTTGAACTAATTCTTTTTGCAAACAAATAGTCTGCTGTCAGACTTAAACTCATTTGCTTCAGTAACATGGGTTATGTATTATGTTGTCTTGACTCATTCATCAATATTGACTTGGTTTCTCCATGTGTGCTTTTTTGCAATGACAACTTCAAAGCATCAAGTTCTACTCAAACATTACTTCTTAGTTAAAGGGCAAAAACTGTATGTAGCAGAATGAGATAAATTTCTGTACCCTTTTCAAAACGATTTCAATGTGTCTGCCACATTAACAAAAGCAAGAGCACATGAATAACATTCTCACAAAGAATCTCAAACAAAGCTCACAAACCGTTTCTTTTATCTTACACTCTTTGATTCTTTTTGTTGTCCAATCAGTGGTGCTCTGTGCCACTTCCTTCTGCAGAGCATATTTCAACTGCTGAGGCTGGTATCTCTTGCATGTCAAGCGAAGTGCACAGCTGTGTGTTTCATTTTGAGCATTTAGCTGAAGCAGAGACATATGGCTGAGCAAGTTCGTATTAGAGTCATGTGTCTCTGGAACACTCCACTAGACTTAAGTAAAAAAAAAAAAAAAAAAAGTGAAACACCCTCCCCACATGTTCAAATAGTAGACCCCAATTTAAACATTATTATCTTAATGGAACTTCTAATGTGCACAACCACATATACATTAATAAAACCCTCATTCAGAGACAAAACTGGTGCCCCCTGCTTATGGCAAAGCGCAACTGATGAGCTATGGTGCTAGTAAGAGATGTATGTATATTGTAAAGAAGGGCTAGAATAGAATATAAATCTAGGATGAGAAAATAAAATAAACGACCCTCCCTTGTTCTCCCAATAAGATCAGACCACTCCTATAAAAAGATAAAAACTGTACCTGCCAATCATGAAATACTGCATTAAATATATATATATATTCATTACCATGTTTTCGGGTGGTGTCTCCATCTCTTTAGCCGGAAGGACCACCAGCAGAATCCCGACTATTGCCAGAATCAACAGCATGGTCGCAGGGATGATTTGGGAGTATCGGTGAGCCATACTGGAGACTGTGCGCTCGGACGCTTCTGGCTGCTCTGCGTAAAAGCGCGCGAGCACTTAATGCTCAGTAGGGAAACCCGCAGAAATAAAGGGCGTGCATTAAATAGCTTACGGCTGTGGGTCTGGTCTGAGCGTTTGACGTATGATTTGGTGAGATGTAGGCCTACCGCTTCCTCCTACCCCTGCAGGCACCCACACAGAGTTTGATGTTTGTTTGACGTTTGGAATAAAGGTTGTCTTCTCGGCTGTGAAGTATGGAGCCCCAAAGTGTTCAATATAAAATAAATGAACGAGTTAGTATTATTAATAAGTAATCACATGAATGATCCGATGATGGTTAAGTATGTGAACACATACAAGAAATTTAACTCCGTGTTTCTTTTTTTCATTGCTTTTAATGTACTTACACACAGTGGTGGACAGTAATGAAGTTTACTTGAGTAGCCTACTGTACTTAAGTACATTTTTGAGTATCTGTACTTTACTTGAGTAAATTTTTGGGGGATTTTTTTACTTTTACTCCACTACATTTGAAGGACAAATATTGTATACCTTTTACTTCATTGCATTTCTATTGATGCTCTGGTTACCCACTACTTTTGCTCTTATGTCAGCTGATGAAATTCTGATACCAAAGAAAGTAAACTGTTTCTGCTGATTCGCGTATGGTTTGTCTTAGTCATATTGCCGTACCTGTACTACGTCATGCTTAAAACAAAACTTTACTTTGGCGGTTCACATCCACATCATGCGATAGCGGTGTCGAAGGCTTCAGCAGCAATAGAGGAAGAAACCGCCAGAGAAACTCCCCTGGCCCCGAGCATCTGTGGCTGTATCTCAAGCCCAAGTTCGAGATTTTTGATACGAAGAATAATATGGGGTGCCGTTTGTAAAATGGCTCACGCTGAAAATAACATCAACATTTTGCCACATTTAGCTTCAAACAATGTTTAAAAAAGTGTTGTGAATTTTTTAACGTCACCTTTTACCACATTTACAGCAATATTTGTTAACTTATATTTTATAAAATATATTAAATAGTTAAATCTGAATATTAAATGTGGCACCTAAATATTAAATGCTAAATCTAAATATTAAATCTAAATTTAAATCTAAATGTTAAATCTAATTTTAAATCTAAATGTTAAATCTAAATGCTAAATCTAAATATTAAATCAAATCTAAATCTTAATCTAAATCTAAATGTTAAATCTAAATGTTCTGGGTGAAACTAAATATTTAGCTAATATGTAAATTCACACTGCCGGTCACTGGAAGTACCTAAACAAAAGCTTGAGATGGTCAGACTGTGTTTACAGAATCAAATAACGAATTAAAACCAACTTATCGGGGGAAGTGAACACTTGAACATACATTAGCGTGATAATAACTACCTAAAATAACAAAAAACATGTTTGGAGAAATTTTATTTGACGTATTCACCTTATTTTTCACGGAAACACGGAGGCAAAACAGAACGCAGCCAGCTTCCGTTTTTTTGTGCAACACTTCTGGTCCAGCACTCTTGACCACTGTGTAAATGGGAATCGCCTTGTTGTTTACCTCGTTGAGTTTAGCTATGTATATTTAAGCAATGTCACACGAGAGGCAGTGATGTTGTACTGTGATATCGTCACGGCTGTGATTCGTTTGTAGGCACGAGGCCGCAGGCATCACGAGCTTGAGTGTGATATTGCTTTTATACAACAGTTCAACAGTTAAATAAGCAAGGCTGATTAAGAAATGTTGAAAAATGAGGACAAAATAGATAATTTAAGCATTTTATTTGTCTTCCGCCAACAAAAATAGTTCTCTCAGGACTCCGCTGTCACCGTTGCTATGTAACGCAGACATGATGCGCCAGGCACTTACTCTTTATACACATTTATCTGCATCCATTAATTGTGCAGCCGGTGAAATAAGTCTCTGGTGACTGCATGGTGGACTGTCGCTTCACAGGCACAGCCGACTCTGCCTTCTGATCTGACAGTATGTTGCTTTTCTCCAAGTCATTGAGCTCTGCTGATGAAACACTGACAAACCTGGATGTGTGCTCAGATGGATTCAGCTTCTCCTCTCCCTCATCTTCCTCTGATGACCATTCATAGTTCAATTCAAAACTTATTTTAGGAAATAAATCCATTTTTTTAGCTGTTTGACAGTGGATGAATTAATTAGCCTACAACGCAACTGCTGACCTAACTGACACTAACCGTCAGTTTTGATTTGATTGTTGATTGCAATCAGCTGTGAGGCGGAGTGATACATACACAGTGAAATAACCGTGATGTTGTACTCCAATATGGTCACGGTTTTACTGTCTCTCGACCAATCAGATTGCAGGGCCGGAACTAACTGTTGTATAAATATATATATATCACAATTTTCACGTCACTATATCACCGTGTAGACTAATCTGATGTTTGTAAAGTCTATAAACACAATGATTGAACAAACATTACTATTTCTGTGTGCACGTTTTGTAATTAATAACATGGTTATCGTAGATTAGCGGGGCTAACCGTTAGCTGTTAGCCCCGTTAGCGGTGTCTGTAATGACTCATTAACTCTAAATGGTCCTTGAAAAAAATATTTTTTTCCAGCAGATGTCTTAGTTACAACATGATTGAGCTAACTGGAGTAGTTTCATGTTGTATCCGACAACGGGAGGCTTTTAACAGATGATGTCCTGATGTTAGCGTTGCTGCTGCTGTTAGCTGACCCTGTCAGCTGCGACCACTATGCTTTCTAGACATCATGATTTCCCAAAACTGAATAAATACCACACATAGCAACACAAAACTGCTTTGCTAGCTCAATTATGTTGTAACTAAGATATCCGCTGGAAAGAAATATTTTTTTCATGGACCGTTTAGAGTTAATGAGTCATTACAGACACCGCTAAGGGGGCTAACAGCTAACGGTTAGCCCAGCTAATCTACGATAACCATGTTATTATTTACAAAATGTGCACACAGAAATAGTAATGTTTGTTCAATCATTGTGTTTATAGACTTTACCAACATCAGATTAGTCTAAACGGTGATATAGTGACGTGAAAAATGTGAGATATTCATATATATACTATAGCTAAAGTCTGCTGGTTTTCTACCCAAAAGTATTTCTTAAGGCGATTCCCTCCGAAGGGACACTAACAACTCAAAGTACACATCAATTAAAATTTCTCCAAACATGTTTTCCGGCACCCCACATACAGAGGTGTTGCCTCGCTGCAGCGGTCACGGGTTTGACTCCGGCTCGCAACCATTTGCTGCATGTCATCCCTCCACTCTCTCTCACCCCCCCATTTCACTCTCTCCTGTCAATTAAAGGCAAAAGCCCAAAAAAAATAATCTTTAAAAAAACAAACAAAAAAAAACACTTTTTAAACATTGTTTGAAGCTGAATGTGGCAAAATGTTGATGTTATTTTCAGTGTGAGCCACTTTACAAATGGTACCCCATAGAATGATTCTTATTAGTTCAAGTGTCTGTTTGTCTTTTTTATACTATTATAGATATGTATGTGTGTGTGTGTGTGTGTGTGTGTGTGTGTAAGTAGAAAAATCTGCCAGTGGAGCAAGGTTTTTTTTTCTTATTACAAGCAAAAAAAATCTTGTTCCACTGGCAGATTTTTCTACTCATTTCAAGTGAAAATTTGCTTGAAACAAGTAAGTAATTTTCTAAAAACAAGCTACTTTTTATATGATGTGTCTTATTTTAAGTGTAATGAGGTTTGTTTTGACTAGAAATGAGACATTTTGACTAGAAATAAGACCAATATTCTTGGTAAGATTTTGAGTTTTTGCAGCATAGGCCTATATTGTGTTCAAATGTGACAACAAGAAAAGGAAATTTGAGTTTTTGTGAGAAAAATACAGTTGGAGGTAAAATTTGTTTTCTTGGCAATATGAAGCAATTTAATTTGTTGATGAATGCAGCTGAGTTTGTGTTATGAGGCCTCTTGCCTTTATTTGTTTATTTTTTTAGCTATAAACATTTCTGTAGCAGAATCGCGTCAGAATGACAATAAAGCTGCTTTCCTTTCCTGTATTTTCTGACATTTTTTTAAGTACTTTTACTTAAGTAATTTTTTAAGCAAATACTTTAGTACTTTTACTTAAGTAATATTTTAACTAAGCTACTTTTACTTGTATTGGAGTAATAGAAGTATCTGTACTTTTACTCAAGTAGTGAAGTTGTGTACTCTGTCCACCTCTGCTTACACATGAATAAACATATCAGATAGGAACAAGGACAACAAGCTGGACAAAAAAGGCAAGACATGGACAGGACTATATACACATGTATATGAAAGAATAGCTGTTTATATAAATATGTTATAGATGCACATAAAGACCACAAGAATAAATTGTGTAAAATATTAAATAAAACAATCTTTTCTTTAATAATTTAAAGAGGCAACAGATAGCATCTTTTCCTAAATATATCATTATGAAAATAATGTGGGATGCACAGGGTAGTGGCCACAGTAAAATCTGACTATCAGCATTTACATAGGTTACTTAGTGGCTGTACAATAAGCTTCTGCCACCGGTGCCAAAAATTTGTGGAAAAAATCTGCTTTACGGCAGGAAACGCGTCATGTATTGCGAAATTGGTCAGCCAATCAGGGACTGGAGCTGGTCCTTATGAGGAGTTGGGCATGAGATAGTTGAGTCACGAGCACAGTGGCAGATGGACAAAGTTTGGAGACAAGTGAAAAACGGCCTAGCAAAAAACGAGCTCCTCTGTCTGAGGAGGCAAAAAAGAGCAAAAAGGAGAGTGATAAAAGAAGAGGAAAAACAAGAGTAAACCTCAGTCAGGCGTTCAAGAGATGGAGGGAGCTCCATGACCAAAGAGGCTTCAAAACCAATGTCCAGCTAGCTTTCTTTCTAATGAATCAGTAAATGTTAACTAGACATTAGAGGACTGTACTGTACTGGCTGCTAGTTAATTCCTAGCTGGCCAGCATTGCAAATCGTCGCAACCAGGGGCTGGGTAGCGAGTGTTGGTCGGCTGACATCCTCGTTGCCATTCTACGGCAGCCCTCGGACAGTGAGCGCGTTTACA